GCGGCGGCGGCGGCGGCGGCGATTGTCGCCTCATTCCATGTCCCATTCTCGAATGTTATTCTGTGACAGATAACCGAGTCACCCGGGCAGCCGCCGATGTTCTGAATGCGTCCATTGGCCGCCGCAACAAAGAAGGGCGGGGCTCGGGCTCGGGATTCTACAACCCGGAGCTCCCCCGGCGTTCTGATTGGTTCCAGGGCTTCCCGGGCGGGCGGGGTCTGGAGTAAAAGGAAGCTGGGCCGGCCACGAGAAATCCGAGATCTGTGTGTGTGTGTGTGTGTGTGTCTGTCTGTCTGTCTGTCTGTCTGGAGCCCCTGCACCGCTGAGGCTGGAGTTTGTCATGGGGGACTTCATATCTAGTTCCCACACGGTGAGGGTTTGCGACTGTGGGAAGCAGAGGATCAGTAAACGAGTCAAGGGAGGCTTAGTGCTTGGAACAGCAGTCCCTCGAGCGGACTGGTCAGCCAAGTCGCCTGTCCCGACCTGGAAATGCCAGGTGCTTTGGTCAGGGGCTATTTCTATCTATGCATAAAATTAACTGGTTTTTTTTTAAGATGCTACAAGTTCATCTTAGATCCTCTGTTATTAATTATGGTTAATAATAAAGTGTCTCCAAAACCCATCCTGACATTGGACAATTAGTCCAGCCAGGCCCCAATAGCTGGCAGCATGCTTCAAAGCCACGACAACGAAGTGGATGGCCTTCCCACACTCACCAACGAAACATCTCTTTCTTCAAATTTTTAAAAGTTATTTAAGATAGTACAGAACAAGGTGAGGTGGGAAAAGCACCAGATTACTGTCTAGGCATGCCTCTTGTTGAGCTGTGTGACTCTGAACACATCGCTTATCTCCTCTGGGCCTCAGCTTCTCTTCCTAAAAAAACTAGAGTAGAACCCTCACTCTGCCAGTATTCTTCCAGTTCCAGGCTGTGTGGTTGCCCAACTTGATCTCTTGTGGACACTTAGAAACCTGGCCATACTATTTTTTTTCTCTTTCAACTCCCAGCTTGCCAACTTTGAGAAGTTGAAGCTCCTATGACCACACTGTGAACCTTTGGTTAAGAATGTCTTGGTATCTGGGTGTGATGGTACATGCCTATCATCTTAGAACTCAGGAGGGTAAGGCAGGAGGGTCACAGGCTTGAAGCTAACCTGCACTAAAGAGACCTGTCCCTCAGAAACTAAAACAAAAACAAGCAAAAAGTACCCTATGGTGCCCAGGCACAGGTAGGGAACCTGATTCTTGCAGACTTCTCTGCGCTGGCTGGTTTTGAACCTCAATCCTCAGATCTCAGCCTCCTTGAGTAACTAGGATTATAAGTTTGCAGCACGTGCACCCAACAGTTTTAATTTCTGGATTAACAGAAGTCATGCCTTGGAGAGCGATCTATTGTTTCCTCATGAATATTCTTCCTTCATTTTGCATTTATCCTCAAATCACTCTCTCCCTCTTCCCTGGAGTTTTCCAGTCCAGGGCTCTAGAGTTTCAAAATGAGGTTTTATATACAGAGGACAAGAACTCAACCTGACATTACCCCAGGAGAAAACAACTCTCACCACTCAGACCAGCCAGTGAACATCAAAGAGCATCAATGGTCACTTTCTTCAGAAATACTTCCTGTTGCCCCATATAGGCCAAATCCAAAGATCTATAGTCACCTTGTTAAACCAAGGCTTGAATCTACTTTACCTGAGTACCAGATGGAGCTGTTATTTTATCTTCTTGCCTTAGAACACCGAGGACTCCCTGGGGTGGTGGAGCTTTTGTTGTTTATCTCCAATATTCCAGTTGCCTGTTTTCTTCTTTTGCAGGGCTTGGGATGGGTGGAAAACTAATGATGTGTCCTATGAAAACAGAGCCAAGATCTAGCTTCTTTTCCAGTGAAGCAGTAGGGAGGCTCCTGGAAGGAACTGTGCAGTCCCAGGGAAGGCTTTGTCAGTCACAAGGACTCTTGTTCAGAATTCCTATGCATTGGACAGCTGGGTTGCATTGCACCACCAGCCAATTCTTCATTCCCTTGCATATTTTGTATTACATGACACTCTCACTGGGACCCAGATCCTGTAGATTAGGGGTCTGGAAGCTCCAATAGTACATATGTGTGATAGGACAAGGTCAATTTGTGATTTGAACAGGGGCCTATGGTAACTGCATGCTCAGCCTCAGAAGTCATGGTCACTTCCATTCATAGGAAAAAAAAAAACTAGTTCGGGAGAGCAGTGTAGTGGGGAGACTTGGAATGAGAACAGGGTTCAAGTTGTACCTCATTATTTAAGTGTCAGCTGTCAGAACCACAAAGGTAAGTAGGAGAACAAAATACTACTCAGATGGACCGCATTTCTAGCTCTGTCACTTGCTCATGCTACAATTTGGGATAAATTAACGTTTCTGCGCCTTACCTCAAAAATAGATACACTGTTATGCTAGAGGGATGTTGTGGATTCAGAAAGACAAAGTTGCATTATTCAGCAATGACACAACACTTGAGATGAGGTATTTTGTTTCTGTCAGCATGTATAAGGAGGAAAGATTGATAATGGCTTAAAGTTTCAGAGTTCATTCCATGGTTGCTTGGTCCCATTGCTTTCGGATCAAGGGCAACATGGGAGGCAGGCAGAACATCGTGGTGGGAAGCAAGTGTTGGAGCAAAGCTGCTCACCTCAGGGCCTCCAGGAGAGAAAGAGACAGACAGACAGACAGACAGAGAGTGCACCAGGAGTCCACTATTCCCTTCAAGGATATGACCCTAGTGACAACATCCTTTCCACCAGACCCAGCTCCTATCCTCAATAACACCACCACCTGGCAATCAAGATTCTAGCACATGTCCTTTGGGGAATATTTCAGATCCAAACCATAACATGAGGTCTGTATAAACACATGCTTATGAGCCTACTACATAGAATTGGATCTTACTCTGAAACTGAGGCCATTATCCAAACAGATTTGGAAACATCTGTTCCTAGCACATCTGGGAACATTATTCCATTACCTGAGAGATAATGTTCCCAATTTTCCAGGGAAAGAGGCAAACATTTAAATCAAGCCATGGGTGTATGGAAGGGAAACGGAAAACCAGGGAGGGAGCAGTTGACACACACAGAACCTGGCAGTTTCCTTCTGCCTCTACTGATAGCACAGAGGAAAACCCACCCAATTATGGGTCGAATTTTACACCCCTCTCCCCAACTCTTGACAGATAAACACATATGTTGAAGCTCTAACCACTAGTACTGAAGAATGTGACCGTATTTGGAAATACTGTCATTGCAGATGTAATTAGTTATGATGAGATCATCCAAAAAAGGCTGGGCTCCAAAGGCAATAAGATTGATGTCTCCATAAAAAAAAGGGAAATTTTGGATGCAGAGCCAAATGAGCACAGAACTCCGTGGGAAGATTGGAGCCCCACTGCCACAGCCAAGGAACTCCTAGAAGCTAGGAGAAATACCTGGAACAGATCCTTCCCTAGTGCTTTCAGAGGGATCTGGACCTACCAGTGCAATCTTAGACTTTAGTTTCCAGAAGTGTGTGATGATGAACAGCTGATTATACCACAGTTATGGTTGAAAAGTGAAAAGTCTTCTCATGAACCCATGTGTTGAGTGACTAGTTCTAGCTAGTGAATGGGATATAGTTGGAGGAAATAGGCCCCAAAGAGGCATGCTTTTGAAAGTTATGCCTGGTCTCCAGTTTCTTCCTCAATCTAGCTTCCTGTCCACCATGAGGTGAAGAATATCCTCTGCCTCACACACCTACCTCCAGGATGCTTTGCTTAAGCACATAGGGCCAGCAACCATGGACTGAAACCTTTAAAATTGTGAGCCAAATTCTTGCTCTGTTAAGTTGTTTGGTCAGGCATTTTGTCACAGTGAGTAAGTACCTAATGCAATCACTCAGCTAGCCCAGGTGTTCAAAGATTGGCCTGATGAGAGAAGTAAGTAAAAAAAGAATTGTGCTTGTTCAAACCCCACAACCAACAATACAAAAAAACCTAAATGTTTGCCAGGTACTGGCGGCCCATGCCTGTAATCCTAGCTACTCAAGGGGGTGAGATCTCAGGATTACAGTTCAAAGTCAGGCAGGAAAGTCCATGAGACTCTTATCTCCAATAAGCTACACAGAAAAAGCCAGAAGTGGTGCTGTGGCTCAAGAGAATTAGCCCTGAGCAAAAGAAGCTCAGGGATAGTGCCTAGACCCTGAGTTCAAACCCCAGGACTGGCAGGAAAAAAAAAGTACTGTGTTAAAATGACTTCAGTGAAATGACATTTTCACTAATTACCAACACTTATATTTTGTCAATCATTTAACAATCCTGGCATTATTCTAAGAAAAATGCTCTACTACCCCCGCTTTGCACTTAATAAAGGCCTGAAAGCAATTTTTCTACCATGTCAAGGACTAGAACCTCCAAAACCATCAAACAAAATAAACCTTTCCTCTTGATAAGTTAATTGTTCTCATGTGTTTATAGAAATAAAAGAGAATTAAAAACATAAACTGTGAACAGGAAAAAAAGTTGACAAATTAGAGTTGGAAAAGAACCAACTAGAGCTAAATAATATGATCAATAGCCAGGCATAGTGGCACTCATCTGTATTACCAGCTAATCCAGAGACAAAGACAGACAATTAGCACCTTATGATCAGCCCAGGGAAAAGTTAGTGAGGTCTTATCTCAAATCCAAGCCAGAAGCTATAATCCAGCTACTTTAGAATGTAAGAGATCAGGAGGATCACAGTTAAAAGCCAACCTAAGCAAAAAAAAAAGGAGGGGGAGACACCCTTCCCCCACCATGCATCTCAAGAAAACAAGCCAGATGTTGTATCTTGTGATTTTAACTATACAGGGGGTTATGAATAGAGTACATTAGTCCAAAGTTAACCTTAGATGAAAATCATGATCTTTCCTGAAGAAAAAAAAAACACCAAAAACCTCATAGTACAAAACAGCTGAAGACATGGCTCAAGTGATAAGCCAGGGGAATGTCCTGAGCTCAAAGCACAGCACTACCAAAACAAACAATTGAAAAATTAGCAAGGATGTGGCAGTATATACCTGTGATTCCAGCTATTCGTGAGGATGATTACAGTTCAAAGTCAATGTGGTCAAAGCCAGCATGAACATTAAGCTAAAAGCAAAAGGACTTTTTTTTTTGGCTCAAGTGGTATGACATCTGTCTAGCCAAGAACCAGAAGTGCAATCTCCAGTACTAGAAAAATGAAAAATAAAACTATGATCAGATGAAATTAAATGTATATTAGATGCTATAACAAACAGATCCTATAAAATATGGATGGGGAGTTTGCTCACTCTGGGAGGTGAGCAAGTTGGTAGAGTAGATTTCCTATATTCAGTGGTTCAAACATTAAGAGACTATGCCATTCTTAATAGTTTTCAGATTTCTCTGGGTATCCTCTTTATTCAGATCATCGGAAAGAGGAGGGAAGCAGAATAATCATCTCTTTATTTAAAGTCTTCATTAAAAACTTTTCTAAACCAACAAACACTAGCCTTCTGGCTCTTTCAGCCAATGTCCTTCATATTTAAAAATTATCTTTAGGTAGTGGTATAAAGGGTTTCAATTCAACATGTTAATTTATTAGTACAATGCACCTTGATCCATGTCCTTTAAAGTAATATGGTTTGTCGTAGGCACTTGATCTGACTAGCTAATTGCTGTAAATAGTTTTTGTTTTGTTTTGTTTTTGTGCCATTCATGGGGCTTGAACTCAGGGCCTGGGCTCTCTCTCTCAGCTCCTTTTCCTCAAGGCTAGTGCTCTACCACTTGAGCCACAGCTCCACTTCCAGCTTTTTTGGTGTCTAATTGGAAATAAGAGTCTTATAGACTTACTTGCCTAAGCTGGCCTCAAACCATGATCCTCAGATCTTAGCCAACTAAGTAGCTAGAAGTGTAGCCATCAGCACCCAGCTACTGCAAATACTTTGTCAAATGTTTTTATCACTAAATGACCAGAGTGTCTATCTTTCTAGTCTGTGGTATATAGTTCCATGTCATTTATGACCAAATCATGATGAGAAGATCCCAAGTTTTAGATTGGGATCCCACTTCTGGTTCTAATAAAGAAAGGTAAAAAGGCCGGGCACCAGTGGCTCACGCCTGTAATCCTAGCTACTCAGGAGGCTGAGATCTGAGGATCACGGTTCAAAGCCAGCCCAGGCAGGAAAGTCTGTGAGACTC